GAGGGTCTCTCATAGGAGTAAACTAATCATCATGAGAAAGGGTCGGATCTACTTGAGGAACAGGAAGATCAAGTGGTGACATCGGATCATGTATCGTAACAGAAGGTCGAGCTACTCGCCCTCTACCACATCCATGTCCTGTCCTACGACCTCTAGCAGCATTCATCGTTGGATCTATAAGGCTCTACAGAAAGAATTTGAAACATTTGTCAGATTAGCATCAGGGATCTCGAGAAAACTTTAAATTATAAAATAAGGTGACAATTTTTTTTTATTTCTTAAAAATCCAAAGTTTAGGACTCATATACAGTCCAAGTGTTTAAAACCGAAAGCTCTGATACCACCAAATGTAACCCCCTAGACCCGGTCTAAACGTTAGACCCAAACCTAAGCGGGGCACATGTCCCATTCAGAGATTCCTTTATATTTAAAACAACTTATAAAACATTATATATAATACATAACAAAATATCAGTAATAACGATATATCCAAAACGATAATAAAATACATGTCACCAAACATAACCGAAAAACATATAAAAATATATGTTCGTACAAAATAAAGTAGTTGATTTCTCCTGATGCCAAATCTACTAGCTTACGGTCTGCTGTTATCTGAAAAAGATTAAAATTTACAGAATGAGCTAAAAAGCCCAGTGTGTCCCATACAGTGTATAACATATACATAACAAAATAATTCAGATAATATAAAACAATATCAAATATATTTTAATAACATGCACACTACCCCCATCCAATCACCAAATTGTGTAGGTTCACTTGAACCGTACACCGCCTATACACCAGTAAGGCTTAACCTGTGCACAAAGCAGAAGAGCCTAGGAAAACTGTAAGGTTTATCCTTGCACACAGCAATGGGACCTGGGAAACTGTAAGGCTTACCCTTGCACACAGCAAAGGGACCTGGTAAACTGTAAGGCTTACCTTCGCACACAGCAAAGGGACCTGGGAAACTGTAAGGCTTACCCTTGCACACAGTAAAGGGACCTGGTAAACTGTAAGGCTTACCTTCGCACACAGCAAAGAGACCTGATAATACTTCCTTCAATCGTACCCCAATGACAAAATAAACATGTATGTATTGGAGTAAAAACAGTAATTAATCCATTAAATATGGAAATGTTCCATATTTAGAAATCATGTACCAAAAATACTATAACTATAAACTATATAAAAATTATACGGTAAATCAGACATTTAATAAACATTATTCAAAATACCGAATATTTCCTCATAAATTATATTATATTCTCATAATATAAACCAGTTCGGATATATAGTTTATAACTATAAGATAACACTGGTAGGGAAACACACCTGTAACAGTATGAGAAATTAGATAGGGAAGCTTATTACTGGTTTTGTCGATCATGCTCTGCTGCAGCGCTAGATCTTACGAATTGTAAAAATCCTTATTGGAATTCTAATAAAAAAAATAATCTTAATCTTTACTTAAATAATATACAGAAACCTACGGGTAGTTCTTGTAATACGCGGTTCGGACTGATCTGAAGAACGGACAACATCGGACCTGACTGATCCTTACTCAGGTGAAACACGAGTACCTTCATAAAATATCTTACTTAATCAATTCCTTAACCATATCTCAAATAAATAATCAAAATACTAAAATACTAAGCCTTTTTGGGTTCACAAGATCGATTTGGGAATTTCGGGTCAGAATTTGGCAAAACGAACTTCGGAATCAAATTCAAGACGTCGAAAAACATAAAGTATGACCTTCCGAAATTTCGAATTCTTGGTCAAAATTAAAGTCAATGGGTTTGACTGACGATTTGGAGACTTTCGGGTTTGAATTTAGCGAAACAGACCCCAAAAATAGATTCGGGACGTCGAAAACTGTTAGGATAGGTATTTTTGGAAAAGATTAACGATCGTTTAATAGCCGGTCAAAGCCGGTCAAAGTTCTGGTCAAAGGAGGTCAACAAACTATCAACTATTTTACAGAAATAACACCCCTTTTCAAATTAATTACCAAAATAGCACCCATTTTGAATTAATTCCTATAATAGCACCAAAATCGAATTAAATCCCAGAATAGCACCGGTCAACTGTCAATGGCCGGGTCGGGTCAACAGGTCGGGTCGGGTCAACGGGTCGGGTCGTGACCGGTCAAACCGGTTTCCAGCTTTCACTCGCCCTGCGGCGGCGCGTGTGGGCGCGTGAGGTGTCCTCCTGGACTCTAAAAATCATGGAAAAATTTCTAAAAATTATTTTGAGCGATTTCGAGATACTTACAGAGATCGGTTCAAATTTTTGAACGGCGGAGAGCTCGATTTCATCAAACCGAGGGTGACACCGGCGGACTCGGAACGACACAAGGAACACGATGGTGCAGGAGGTGTCGTAAACGGAGCAACGATCAGCGATGAATTTAGGATTTTCTAGGCGATTGAGCTAAAAAAAACGTCGATGCTTTGACTTGAAATTCACGACGTTTGGCAGCGTTTCGCTTTAATTAAATTGAGGAGATTGTTCCTGACTCGATAACGAACACGATGGTGCTTTCAAAACGGCGATCAGAATTCGGATGGCGTCGGGATCGTCGTCGGAAGTTGAAGGTTAGGAGAGGAAGTTTGGGAGCATATAAGAGCAATTGGTTTCTTTTTTTTTCCAGAAACCAATTGCACGTATAAATCCACGAATCTGACCAACTTTTATTGGGTAAATTCAGGGCTTGGTCCCTAAATTTTTTTAACTCTAAAACAAGCTTCAAGTTTTAAAATCTTTCAATTTAGTCCCCAAATATTCACCAATAACACAATTAAATCTTCAAATTCCAATTAAATATTATTTTGATATTTTCGGGTTGTTACAGAAACCACTGACCAAGGCTGCGTTTGAAGATTTTTTCGAAAAGGTTTATGTGTTGTCGTGTTAATATGAGGAGCTTGGAAGGAGCAGGGAGAATATTGGGAATAAAGCTAGCCCCACTAATGAAGTACGATGCAAATCCAACGTGTGCAATGTTAGTTACACGGTTAGGTGGTTGTTGAAGAATAGTTAGGTGGTTTGGGTTTTGGTTAAGCCTAAATGCTTAGGTCTGCAAGGTCATGCATCAGTAGATGCTATAAATGTTGTATAGTTGTTTGTGTAAAGGCATTCAAGTTTGGAAGTAAAGATAGCTTGCTGGTTTATGAGTTGTGTATAGAGTTTCTCAATATACAAGCCTTGCACATGTTATGTTTGTTGTATTATGTCATCTCCATTGGGGACATGCTATGAATGTATCTACTACCAAAGGGTTTTTTTTAGGTTGAGTTAATAGCTTCATATCGAATTTGGTTGTTTATATTTAGGAAGGATTGTGAATTTAGCTTTTCATTGAAGATGCTACTGGAGCTGTGCTTAGTCTCTTCACTGACTGCCTATGTTGTTGAGCGTCATTGCAGACTTATCGTCGTAAATGTAAATGTTAACATGGGTTTATACATTTGGTATTTCCATTTGACTCATTTTCTGGGCACTAATTCTTTAAATTTAAGGAATGGTAGGTGTAAAGGTGCATAACTAAAGGATTTATCTCAAATAAGCACTACAGCAAAATAGAGTTTTAGCGGCGTTTTTTTAGTCCTATAGCGGCATTTTTAAGCGCCGCTAAAAGCACTCGCGGCGATAGTAAAAACGCCACAATAAGCGCCAGCCAAACCAGTGCTGCTAATGTTAGTGGCGTTTGTGAAATAAAAACGCCGCAAAAAATCAAGATCTATAGCGGTGTTTTTGAAACAAACGTCGCAAAAGGTTAGATCTATAGTGACATTTTTATATACAAAGGCCACAAAATGTTGAGATCTATAGCGGCGTTTTTTGATCAAACACCGCAAAAGGTCAGATCTATAGCGGCGATTTTGTATATAAACGCCGCAAAAGGTCAGATCTGTAGCGGTGTTTTTGAACAAATGTCGTAAAAGGTCATATCTATAGCGGCGGTTTTGTATATAAACGCCGCAAAAGGTCAGATCTGTAGCAAAAAACGCCGCAAAAGCTCATATCTATAGCGGCGGTTTTGTATACAAACGCCGCAAAAGGTCAGATCTATAGCGTCGTTTTTTGAACAAACACCGCAAAAAGTCATATATATAGCGGCGGTTTTAATACAAACGCCGTAAAAGGTTAGATCTATAGTGGTGTTTTTTATACAAACGCCGCAAAAGGTTATATCTGTAGCAGCGTTTTTGGAACAAACGCCGCTAATTACCATTCTTTAGCTAAGAGTAATTGATATTTTGCATATTTCATTTATGCTCTACATAACCTAAATTTAATATCAAGTAACTTTATATAAAAAACAACAACCATAAATTTTAACAACAAAATAAATTAAAATTTATAAACATTAAAATTAAATGTAATGTAGTTTGTCATTGTTCTCTAGAATTTAGTATAGGTTATTTCACTTTCAATTAAAAAAAATATTATTCATTAGAACTTAGTCTTCATTAGTCTGGTTCACCAAGAAGACTCCTTGCGCGTTTCAATGCTTCACTTGAAACATATAACGACCTTCCACTTATAGTATGAAAATTGAGAATTAGCAAATTTCAGTTCTCATCTCATCCATTGTTTTGTCAACATCATCTATATTCCTGTAAAGAATCCAAACTTCCAAGCATTTAAACATACAAGCTTCATTGAATAAAATCTTTTTTCAAAAATAAATTAGAACCATAATCGAACTGCACTCAAGTGTATGACGTGGATATTTTTAATTTTTCCAAGATTTCTTTTTTATTTGGAGGGTCCTTAGATCATATCCATATATCTATATCCAAACATGTCTAAGTTAAAGCACACAAACAAATATATTGAGTTATTGACTGCTAATAGAACTCGACTTTAGAAAATACTTTGTTGACACTTGCTTATTACTTCTTGAAACGGTTTCTATTCAAAACTGATAAAACTTTTGAGCTCTTGAGAGAACATAAAAATGATTGAATTGAAAACAACATATTATCACATCATTAACAATTATTTATTTTAGAAGTTACAATTTACATAAAATCAATTAATTAAGTGTTGGCTAGAATTTACCTCATTTTTTGGGCCTTTATATACTCTTTTCCATGAAAAGCTCCACATACCCTAAGTGTTACTCGCACATCCCATCCACTGCTAATACCTTCCACTTGTAACGCTCACAAAGCAAGTTCAGAGTAGCAGAGCTGCACATTCTAATTTCATCACTGTAATCATTGAACCACTAATTAAGCCAATAAATGGTTCAAAATTAGAATGTCATGAATTAGAAACCTCATCTTTTTAAGCCATAATTGATGATAAACTGAGTTTAAGTTAATTGAGCATAATTACATCACTCACCTCTCCATATTTTGCAAGCCTAATACTTGATATTAGGTTTGTTGTGCTCAGTAGTGGAAAATGCACTTTGGGGTGGAAGTATCCATGTGCAAAGAAAAAAAGAGGCAAGAGTAACCCAAAATTAGAATGGCTCATATAAAATACTTTATGATTCAGCAGAAAAAAAGTAAGTTCAAACATAACTAGTACTTACAGGAAAAGTGGTTGGCTTATGTGATGGAAGTTCTCCATTAATAGTAGCATAACTGAAAACAGAAAAGTTCAGAGTCCAACAACTAAAAGGTAATATAGAAAAGTTAAAGGAAATGGATTTATAGAATGATAGAGAGTGTACTTACACGATAAATGCATCCTCTAAGGTGGCAGCTAGTATTCCAACTGTCCCAACTGTCCAGTTCAGAGGAAGAACACTGGAAACATCATATGAACTTTCATTTATTATCTAAAGTTTACAAATTATATAATTATTTTACTTGAATAAGTTCTCACCCTGAATGAGGTATGCACCCAAAAGTTGGTTTGAACCCAACACCACCACAAAGGGATGCAGGCATCCGCACGGATCCTACACAAAATCCATAGATGAATTACATTAATCCTTAGAGGACGATACATAAAAATGCTCATGCATAGCTTCTCAAAATATAGGAATGATAGAACTCTTAGTCCTAATGTACTTTTATAGTATTAATGAAGTAAACAAATATTGTGATAATATTATCACCTGAAAACCTGATGAATTCTACATGCTTCTTCCCTGATGGAGGTAATAGTATCTACTCAAACTTATGATAAAGCTATCTTAATGCTAAATATGTTCTTTCAGAACACTGTTTTTAACATTATTCAAAAATATTTTATGGTTTTCATTTTCTTTTAGTAAAGGACAATTTTTTTACCTTCACTATCCACACCAAGAGCAAAAGGGCATAACCTTGAAGATACAACTGCAGCAGATCCACTCGAAGAACCACCAACAATTTTGTTGGGATCATAGGGATTTCTAATAGGCCTGCAGCAATCACAAAATTTACATACTACCAACTTTAATATCTTTTAAGGGAAAGATCTTAGACAAGATCAAGGAGATGTTAAATTTAGTGACATTGGTTAACTGTATATTAATTTGTAATTAAGACAACGCAGATGATTACTCTGTAACCGTGACACCATACCCTAGTAAATGTTCTGTTACTTCCAGCCAATGTCATATCATTACAATATTTGCACATAAGATATCTAAAGCATACTCTGGCACATGTTAAAAGGGTTCTTACTCCTCAATACAACATATTGCCAAACATAAAAAAATAAAAATAGTTCAAAGAGACAATGTATGCCGAAGTTAAGTTTACTCCGTACTGCAAATAGTAAGTGTGTGAGTGTGTGTATTTGAGACATAAATTCCACCATTTACCAGCCATGTTGTCTCGTTCTGAAAGGTTGGCTTAATATCCAAATTCTCAGGCCGAACGAATTGTTGAACTAGAGCCATCTTCTCAGAAAGTTGTTCATCCTGCTTTACATCATCTTTGAGTGAAGCAAAAACACGGATAAATAACTTTGTCATAACATACTTCTCCAATCCCTGTATTTGGAAGAAAAAAATGTGAATCCATCAATGCCAGATAAAGTTTTTCCCTTTTTACTAATAAAAAACAAATTACCCAAATATAAGAAAGGTAAGTAATTTAATGCATTAAACATATGCAAGTAAAATGGGTATAGGGAGACTTACTTCACCAGCACTGTCTAGCTCTTCCTCAGAGCATCCTGCCCAAAGTGGATGAGCTCGAAAAACAGCTTCCATGTTGGCAAAGAAAGCCTGTACGACCGCACTATCCCTTTCGGGATCAGGAGCATTGTTCGAGAACGAAACTATGAAACTGTAATATGATGACACAAAGGCAACTCAAAAGTTAAAACCTAGAAATGATATCCTAAAACGAAACAACGCAACTCAATCCTTATGAAATTATATTGATTTGGCAATTAATTAAGAAAAACAACATTCACATCGGGAAATATACTTAAATTTGACGAAATCAACTAATAAAAATAAATCATCGACCGAATATATAATCATTAGTCCCATTTGGGATCAAATCACATCAAGAGAGCAGAAAAGAAGCTTACTCAGAATGAGAACTGGGGCGTGCATAAATGATTTATGGTTTTGTTTGGTTGAAACAAACTAATCTGGAAAATGTTTCTTTCGGAATCTAGTTTTCCCCACTGAAAAACCCTATTAGAACGATGTACCCTTTCTCCCCCTCTTTGCTTGTGTTTTGTACGAAATGGGAGATTTGAAAAATGAGCTGCCTGCAATTTATGGGTTTCCTTTGTTTTCGTTTCTTGTCGAGACGCCCAATTTCTAAAGTCGAGAGGGAGGAGAGAAGATGAAACATTTTTATTTGTAGAAAGGGGGGACAGGAATGGAGAAATAGGTGAAGAGGAAAAATGAAAAAAGGTTAAAGAGGCGTGAGATTTAACAAGTTTAAAATTGTGGCGTTTGTAAAAAACGCCACTAAAGACGAGTTTATAGCGGCATTTTTATAAAAACGCCACTAATGTACGAGTCTATAGCGGCGTTTGTACAAAAACGCCACTAAAGTACGAGTCTATAGCATCGTTTGTTTAAAAACGCCACTAAAGTACCAGTTTTTAGCGGTGTTTGTATAAAAACGCCGCTAAAGTACGAGTCTATAGCAGCGTTTATATAAAAATGCCACTAAAGTACAAGTCTATAGTGGCGTTTGTATAAAAACGCCGCTAAAGTATTGCTCTATCGCTGCGTTTTGTATAAAAACGCCACTTAGTATGAGAATATAGCGGCGTTTGTATAAAAACGCCGCTAAAGTTAGCATTTTGTGGTGTTTGAAATGTAAACGCCGCTATATGTTTAAAGTTAGTGGTGTTTACTCTTAAAACGCCGCTAAAAATGCCGTTGTAGAACATTTTTGCTGTAGTGAAGCAAGATGTTGAGGAAGTCGAAATAAATCATTATTGTGCTACTTGCTTGCTTTTTCCAACTTCATATTTATAGGAGAAAAGGTTTGGATATGTGTTCTTACACTTGAGAATAATTGCCTTGTAATATGATTATGATGCCAAGAAAAGAAATTTGCCTGTCTTTTAAGAAGCGGAGAACAAGGAAAGCTAGAAATATTGTTTACTCAAATATTTGAACCCTTGAACATTTTTTCTTCATGGTCAACCTGGGAACTCTAAATGGTTTATCGATGATACCTTATATAACCGTATTAGCTAAACCAACTTGAAAGTTATTATTTGCTAAGAGGGTCAACGATCTGCTATTGTTAGAGCACAATGATGCCTGCCCTTTGAATGCCTTAACTTTGGCTTGTATGGAAATAGCAAGTAGCATAATTGCAAACCAATATGCATGATCTATATTATGGATTACAAGGTAGCCCCGAATAAACCCTGAAATTACACTTACAACCACTTTTTCTGAAAATGAGTAATTTTCCCCTTGGACTGCTTCTACTTGTAGAGCACATATATGTATGTGCCAAAACTAGAACCCATTTTTGTCTTGTTTGTCGAAATTATGCTTGGCATCTTGATGCACCAATCAAGAATTGCTTGTATAATCTTATTTAAGAATTGGTTGACACTTGACACCTTGCTGCATAATATCTTTGATGGAGAATAAAAACTTTGATTTTTATTTTTTGTGCATCACAAATAATTGTTCTAAATCACTCATCCACTATTATCATTTCAAATAGTATTTTATTTGTGGTTACCATCATTTTCTACTTTTTTTCTTGCAGATCAATTTTGCAGCAAGATCTACTGCAAAAGCCTTGGAAAAGCCAGAAGTACTCTACCCCAAAGAGCTGCAAGCTAGCCTTAAAGATCAGCTGAGAACCGTCACAAATTTTATGCAAAAACCACAACTCAAATGAATCATCCCAATGGAAAATCCTTGTCATGTTGGCAGTAGTGCTTAGCATTTAGACATTAAAAACCATGGATCAAAAAGTGCCTTATTGATTAAATTTTGCATAAATATTTGTCTCAAGTATATCACTACTTCAAACCAAATGATTTTCTTACCCATGGACTTTTATGTGCCAACAGAATGGTAAAATATCGAGGGGGTATCTTGATGTGAAGAGTGCCAACAGAAGGGGTCTAGTTATGTGTTGTTCACTCGCATGAAATACAACTTGTGATAACCGTAGGGTTTACTTTTTCTGTTTTTTAGACTTGTGGCAAGTGTTGGTTATGTAAACAAAATTTGGCTTGATAAAATCTTGCAATAAAGTGGGGTGGAAAAGAAAAATATTCCAGTTTCAAAATTAAATAGTACGAAATAAAAGTGTATTGTATAAAGGGTAAACTACATTGATAGTCACTAATGTTTGAGTAAATGTTTGAGTAAATGTTTGTTTTTCTACTAAAATTTTAAAGGTAATAAATTGGTCACTAACATTATCAATTTATAACAAAATGGGTACTCCACTATTATCTGCATCAAATTGATGACGCGATAATGTTAATAAAAAGGTTAATATTTAATTTTACCCTTAAATTATTGTTAACACATCAAATAAGTCATTGAACAATGATTTTATATCAAATTTAGCCCAAAACTTTTAAATTTGAAAATAGAAGAGACTATATCTACCATTATCGGCCAAAAACAAAAAAATATAGCTAACACCAAGAATTATTGTATGCACCATTTTTTACCCGACGAATAAAAAATTAGTTTAGTACTTTTAAAATGATGGGAGTCACCACCAATCAGTTTAGGTGCGATTGAGTCACTGAAAAATGTTTAAGTCTACAAAAACCATAATTTAGTTCGGGCCACAGTTACATGTGATGAAGGATTAACATCCTCACAACACCCGTAAAAACAACATTTATTTGATCACAAATATTTTCTTTTAGACTCATGAATGCAATAAATGTATTTTTAAATTAATGCAAAAATTTAAAATTCTTAAATAATCTCGAATTTCCTAACAACTAAGAGAACCTGAAATTACAGTCGAGAACATAGAAAAATCATGTCTTTATCTATGTTAAAAATTTCGAGGTGAAATCTACTATGGGCAACTTCAAATCTTTTCAACGTCTAGAAAAATACCAAAAAGTTCACCTCATGTTAGAGAACATCCCGTTTATTATGAATTATACCTAAAGTGGGGATTCACAATTCTTAAGGATGTCCTAAGCTCTCTAACATCTAATAGAGTTTAAAGGAATCCGATGAAGTCCGAAAATTTTTATGATTTTTATTAAACGTATATTTTTTGAAAATTGAAGATAAAGCTTTTTATTAAAAATAACCTTGAAATCTTCTCACATCTAGAAAAATATCCAAACTCCATCAACTAATAACTGTACCTTAATTGAAAATACAATGATGATATTAAAAATGTTTCAAGCTTCTGATGATAACAATGAAATTTAAAACGTGGTTAATTCGAAAGAATCTAATTTACTTAACATCTAGAGTAAAAACGCTCTCCTCGAACAACTAATGCCTTAAAGAATGTAAATATTGAATAAAAAATTAAATAAAGATAGGATAGATTCAAAAGATCGATATGCCTAACATCTAAGACAATCAGATTCTCATCGAACAAAATATAAAAGTGAAATTTAATATTAGAAATTATAACGACGAGATTTAAAAAATGGTTAATTCAAAAAAAAAATCTAATGTACTCATCAACTAGTGCAAAAAAATGTTCTCCTCAGATAACTATTGTCTTAAAAAATGTTAATATTTATAATAATTTTTTTAAAACGGAAATAAGATAGATTCGAAAGGTTTTTTATATGCCTAACGTCTATACAATCAGATTCTCCTCAAATAGAATAGGAAAGTAAAATTTAATATTTTATTATGAAATGAGGGCATAAATCGAAAGAATTTGATATGCCAAATATCTAAGACAGATAAGATTTCCGTTGATTAAACCCTTTAAAATTAATCAATTTTTTTAATTTTGTATATAAATAAAGGTACACTGTCTTGCATTTTTAAAAAGGAAATAAGTAATTAAATGATGACATATTAACATAACTAATATTTCTATTTAATATGAGAAAGTGAGTCGTAATTCCTTTTCTTTTAATCTCCTTACTCGGCATATGTGTAGAACGTTATTAATTTTAATTATGTTATTTTTAGGAAATATTCGTGTAATATGTATATATAGCAGTGTATCACTAACCTTCTTTTCTTTCTTCATTTTCCTATTCCATTTAGGTTTCCATATATATATTCACAACCAAAATAGTGACTAAAATGAAACAGAAGAAAAGAACGAGCTAAAATCAGGAAGAAAATAAATATGAAATTGGACCAAAATACAATGAGATTAAAACAGTCAAACTTGAAACAAAAGAAGAAAATGAATGAATGAATGAATAAAATAGGACCGAAATGAAACTTGTAAAACAAAGAGTGACCATGCACATAAATTTCGCCAAAACGAACACGCGAGGTCAAATCCCTCGTGGATCAGGTCACGTGGGTTGTTTGAATGAGGTATGGAAACAAAAAAAAATGAGAACGTTGTTTATTTGTCCTTAAAAAAAGAAGATCAAAACACTTTTTCATATTTTCTCTCATTTGTTCTTGCTTATTCACGTGTGGTTCATAAATTCCGGTCATAACCCGCCGCGTCGACCTTCGTGGGTTAGTGACAACCACTGTTTTCCTGTGACAATTCAAATAAAAAAATAGTCCATTTATTTCCTTTCTTCATCCTCGTTTTGAAAATACTAATCAAACACGCGAAATCCAAGTGAACATGTGTAGATATGAAGCTAAAGATTTGAAAATAAAGATCAAAACACTTTTTCATATTTTCTCTCATTAGTTCTTGCTTATTCAAGTGTGGTTCATAAATTCCGGTCATAACCCGCCGCGTCGACCGTCGTGGGTTAACGACAACTACTGTTTTATTGTGACAATTCAAATAAAAAATAGTCCATTTATTTCCTTTCTTCATCCTCGTTTTGAAAATACTAATCAAACACGCGAAATCCAAGCGAACATGTGTAGATATGAAGCTAAAGATTTGAAAATAAAAGGAAGTACCTTTTTGTTTTTTTATTCTCCTTTGATTTGAAGTATTACAAACTTTTGGAAGAATATTACAAAGATCTTAGCTCTCTCGTCTCTTTATCTTTTCTTTCTTTTCTGACTTTTTTGTGTGAACATTCTCACTAAAAAAAGCTCTTTTTTTCTTGAATTTTACAGATTATATAGTATCTTCAAATTGTAGACGCTCATTTTCGTTCATGTTTCTTTTTATGTACTCTATATTATATATATTATTTTGGTATATATACTATATAGCATATATTACAATATTTATATAGTATATGATATATATTATTATATAGTAAAATATGTTATAATATGTACTATATATTAGTATTATATCACGTATTATATATGTTATAGTATATTATTATTATATATAGTATGTTATATAGTATATATATTATAATAATATAGTATATATTATATTATATATTATATTATCATAGTATATAATTATATATATTATGTATATTATTTATGTACATATTATATAGTATATATATATGTTTAGTATATATTATTATATATATATTGTATATATATATATTATATATTATTATTATATTAATATTATATTTAATTTTATTTTTGGTCCAGGTCCAAAGTCCAATTTGTCCAGCAAGGGAGCCCAACCGAACCATGCCAGCCTAACCTAGCAAAAAGGGCCCGATTAGGAAGAGAGGGCCTGACCCAGCCTAAGTAAAATAGGATTTTACCCTAAACTTTGGCGTCCCTCAGGGAGGGGGCTCGAATGGCGTGTGAGGACCGCATGCCGTCGTTAAACCGACCACTTCGGTGCCAAACAACAAAATCACAACAGATCCGGGAAAAATCGAAGGGGAACAACCCCTATTCTTCAACAATAACGCAACAAACACAAAACCCTGTCAAAAACGAGATTACAACAATTCGAGAAAATCAGGATATGGGAAACGAACCTGGAAAATCTCTCCGGGCATGGCTATAAAAGCCCCTGCAAAGCACCATCAAAGATAACAAAGAATAAGCATCAGGCAGAAAAAGAAACCGAGCAAAGAAATCATTTAGGCCACTAAAAATCACAAAAAAAACACACACATTAAAGTTTTGATCTTGCTCAGGGAAAGGAATAGACGGCGGAGCTAGGATGGACGACGTCGAGAAGTGGAAAGGTCTCATAAAAATGTAAAAAACCCAAAATTTCTTTCGTAGATCTACGTCGATTAGGGGGTTTAGAGCAATTGGGGCTCAGTTTTAGCTTTGGGGTAGTGAGAGGAGCGTTTTGGGGATGTTTACGTTTTTCAGCCACTGGAGGCGGTGGCCGGGATGGCGGAGCTTCGCTGGAGTGTGGCCAACCTATGGCCGGTTGGGGGAAAGGGTTGAGATGATTTTGAGAGTGAGGGAGAGTTGTTTTTGTTGAAATATGTGATAAATGATTATTTTTCTAATTGTTGGGGTATTTATAGAAGGATATGGAATGCAATTTTGAAAAATTTAAATTATTTTTACAGTCCCTATTATTTTGATGCGTAATTCATTTTGGTCAGCAGTTGTAAATTTCCCCTTAAATTTTGAATGAATTCAATTTAATCCTTATTATATTTGTATTTTTTTACAATTTAACCCCCTAACTTCTTATTTTTTTCTTACAACTTTTAATTAATATCAATTTAATCATTGGTTTCTAGTTCTTTTCAATTTAATCCTTTTAATTTAAAAATTTATTTTTATTCTTTAATTTATTTAATTTTTATTTTATTATTTACTAATAATTTGGTTTATTTTTAGGAAAATTTTAAATCTGTCAAAGGTAAGTAATTCAGATCAAACTTTTAAATTTTAATTCTACTTTTAATTTTTGCAATTAAGACAAACAAGAAATCAAATTGGTAACTAAAGGGCAGTATAAGGGTGCTAATCCTTTCCTGACTGTAATCGACTCCTGAATCCGAAAAACTTCTAGTAAAATGTAGATCAAATAAAAGATAAGTTAAGGTGTCTTATCAACCTAATTTAAAATGATCGGTGGCGGCTCCAACACACATTAATTAAAGTCGAAACCCGATTCCAGGCCCACCCAAATGACGGTTACGACAGCTTGGCGACTTCGCTGGGGACATGTAAGAGAGTTAGGCCAAAATTGATTTTCGGTTGTCTTTTTAGGATAAAATTGTAAGTATGAATTATAATTTGTTCTTTCGATCCTTGTTATTTACCTTTGATTATTTTTTTTCAAATAAATATTTGTACTGATGTTTTCAACGATTTCAGTTTTTTTTAACTGGGGTGAAAACGACACATTCGTGGGTATTTATTCTCCGTATAGGCCTAGCAAGTAACCTTCGGGATTCATATACCTTCTATCTTCTTGTGAGTTTATTCTCCGTATAGACATACGGGAATGAATTCTCTCGAGTTTAACTCAGTCCATATGAGCCTGTGATGGGCTTAGGACTAAGGATCTGGCAGGCCCAGGGGGCACCAACAAGAAGAACCAAACCGGGATGCTGCAAGGAATTAGAGCCCACCCCAAAACTCCATTTCAAAGCCTAGGATGTTTTGATTTATTTCCTGCTTTACTTTCTGTTCAAAGCATTTGAATTAAAAATATATGTGGTTAGTATTTGTTCAAGAAAATAACATGTGGGATAAAGATCATAGGAATGAAAACATGTGGGTAGGAATTTTTATTTTATTACTATTTTGATTTTTATTACTATTTTTACTAACTTGTTTCCTTTCATTTTTTGTTTTATT